CGTTTGAAGGAGCAATGCAGTCGGCGTTCCAAGCATTTCGCCGCGCGCAAACATTGCATTCGTCTACGAGCCGCGCCAATTATTCTCGCGTTACTCAACGAATTAAAAAGATACGCATCACCTCGCGTGGTTCACTTTGCATTCGTTAGCCAGGCGAACAGGAAGCATTTTTCATCGCGATACTCTCGATGGAAAAAGCGTTTCCACGTCTTCTTCACGAGCTGTTTCATAATGGTTCTTCGAAATATAGCTATTAATATGTATAAGATAGATTGAATTTTTTTCTTTGTAATTTTTTGTTCAGCTTGTTTCGTAGAAGACACATACTTTAGTTTTTATATGAATAACTATCGTGACGACGAGTCGTTGGAGGTTCCTAGGCCCACGAGCGCACAGTCGCCATTTAATTTCGTTAATTACCTTCAGGATCATGAGATGAATTAAAAACAACCGCCATCAGCTGCCACTCGTTATGATCTCCGTGCTAGCGTGTGTTCTCTGCGTACATGTGCGTGGAACGTGCATGCGTTTTAATTGATATGACGTCATGTAAAGGCGCCGAAACTCTTTTTCCCAGGATTTGTTTAAGGTTCAAGGCCCGAGGGATTAACCGGTCCCTGACTTTCCACGAATCATCGAACGTTATTTAAGAAAATAACCGTCGGTAAATAATTTTAACAAAAATACTAATTTTTTTCACCGATCTCTGTCTTATTGCTACTATTAAAATGACGATATTTTCAAACTGTACCCTTCGATTCGAATTTTCCACCAATTTACCCCATCTTCGTGCAACGCATCGTTAATTCGTCGATCGTGAGAGAAGATCAACCGTGTCCCTGCTCCTTTCAAAGAGAAATTCCCTCGAATTCACGAAATCCTAATAGATGTGGGTCCTCCACCCGTATACAAGCCTGATCGCCACGAACTCTCTCAGGTTCGAGGGTCGAACTCGATCTTAGAATACGCGAACAACTTCCCCTACGATCCTCCAGATTCCCTCTCGATAAAAGTGAAATCTCCGACCGCGGAGAACGTCCAGATATTCGACACACGTGCATCGTAGGAATATATCATGCACGTCACTGTCACTCCGGATGGTTCGAGTCAACGATAACGCAGCCGTTCCTTTAAATAACCGGGTCAGACAGACCGTCGTCCACCCACGAATTATCAGTTTTCCCTGCGACGCGTTCAATCAAACTGATCCGTCCGATCGTCTCCTCTGTGAAAATCTTTCACGTTGAAATTTCGACGAGTGAAATCTCTCGTTACGATCTACCCTCGATTACTTTACAGATCGAAAAACACTCGTCCCTTTTTCTCTTTTTTTTACGCAAAATCATCGCGAGACCATTATCTCTTGCTACGCTTCTTCGCAACAGCGTGTTTACTTCCACGTGAAGCGAATTTATCTTTCAGCCTTGTCACGTTTTCAACGACGCAAAAAAGTAAACGCAAGGGCGGGAGAGAGAAAAGGTAGTTATACTCTTGTTAGATTTACATGAAAACGATTGATACCAGCGATTTCGAGTTTCACACGATTATCGATGCACCGCGTGTAGTGAACCCATAGCAATTCACGAGGCACGCGCTTGTAGGTGAGAGGATGTGACCGACAGGAAGTTCATTGTGTACGGCTACACATATAATGTTGCACGTGGAACGATCCTGCGGATTCTACGCGTTGCTCCGAGATAGGAATTCGACTCTCTGGATTCGACTTCGCCGTATCCTTTCAGGTACACGAATACGTTCGAATTACGCAGCGGAGCTGGTTCGCGTTTCCCGCTCGATCAAATCGTTGGATGTAGGTTAACGCGTGGGCGGGGATCTATTACAAGTGGCGTTTAAGTAATTATTTTCCAATTAGTGGGAAAAATTCAGCGGCGTCGACGAAATTGAGGAATTCCAGCCATTGTCGAGCAAAAGAGTTAGGCGTGTGAAGTAACAATTTGCGTCAATTTTCTCTTCGACTTGGTTCTTTCGTCGAATCGTCGAGGTGTACGAAATTGTTTCGCGAGATACAATAGAGAGAAGAACGACGAGAGGCCGATTGACAGGGACCACGTCGAAACGACGACAGACCGTGGTTTAGAAAGCTAAACCATCGCGATTATGCAAGCATAGTAAGGTCATCTTAGGCATCACCTCGAAATACGATAACGCGACTTCGTTGCTACTCGTGTTTAGTAAATACCATTGGGTGCCATTCGTACGCGACACACCGTAAACATGACTGTCAATCTATCTAGATTTTATAATATTCCCCGTGGCTTTTTTTTTCACCTAACCGGGCAACTCCGATCCGACGTTCCTTATCTTCCACTTGGATAGTTTTCCTCCGGTGCCCTCTGAACCCTCTAGCTCGTGAAGTCGTGGAAAAAAGAGGTCGAGATCGGGAAGAGAAATGAAGGGAAGATAAGGGATCGTGAAGTTGATTTCTGAACCGTGATTTCTTTTATCTGGCGCCGTATATGTAATTGAAATGCAACGTTTCGTGAAGTGTTTCTACCGTTCGTCGAGATATCGACGTAAACTGTGTGTAAAAATCGAGAGGAATTCTATCGTTTTCATAGAAGGTAGAGAAGAAGGCGATGATAACAGAGGACTGAATCAGAAGTCTGAGAATTGTATCGGTTCGAGTTCCCGTGGCTCGTGTGAAGAAACCCGCGGATAAAAAGCTGGTAATCAGTGTCTTTGGCAATTGGCGTGAACGAAATTGGCAGCAATTATCAATTAAACTCTCCACGAAAGGATCGGTTTAATCATTTCTCCAGACCGCCTTTTGTTCCGTTCATCTCTCCTGATGCATCCTTTCAATCGACTCTCATTCACTCTTTGTCGCAGCCCGAGAGAAGAAAAGAAAAAAAGCAGATAAAACACACGCTTCAGAGAGTGATCCTTTCAATAGATCTCGAACGAGATCGTTCGACTTGAACGGAACTTTCGTGCCTTCTTTTCTTACTTATTATCGGCTAGCGAATTAACGAAAATAATCGATCGACGTTGCAGTCGAGAAACAACGGACGAAAAAGAGAGGAAAGAAAAGAACGATTAGATAATGAATGGTACAGTCGGGATGGAGAGTGGACTTAAATTGATACGTCCTTCGTGCGGAGCCATTTTTGTGCTAGGTACGCTCTCGCCTCGCTCCGAGAACGATTCTCGGGGTTCTAACGAATCGACCATTTTCTCTATTATTTTTCCTCCCTCTCGTTCTTATTCTATTTGTCGAACGATCAAGAAACCAATTACATCGTACGTTTCGCGAGACGCAAGTGTATCGGTATCTGTGGACCGCGAAATTCAACGGCGAAAAAAGTGTATACACGCGAATCTCTGGCGGACTCGATGACAAATGAACGACGAGCGATAAGCAGGCACAAATTGAAACAACAGATGAACATAATCGACAACCGTTGCGAAAAAGGCTATCGAGAGGCGGCTGACACCGATGTTCACCAATCGATTTTCGCCTCGTTTCGTTTTACGGGCCAACGTTGAACTTCGCCGCTTTGTTGACCTCTTCGCCGTGGAATCATGACGACTGATAAAGAAATTTCCTCGCGATTCTAGATTATTTATTGCTGTAAACAGTCGCGCTGCACGCTTGCACAGTAGACGCGTACTGTGAAAATGTAGGATGGAAAAAATACGGCGTATTTCACGGACAATTTAGTCCGCGTCTGTCACGCTGCGTCTTTTAAAAAAAACATGGCCGAACGCCACGCGACAATCTTTGCGACTTTTATCTGAAAACACTTTCATAATCCGAGCGTATAATAATATTTCGAGTAATCGCGAGGAACCCTGATAATTGCCACGAAAATGTCCACGATAAAAAAGGAAGAAAAAAACAGACAGAAACGAGAGATAGGCTGAACCTTTCGATTTGGCGGCAATAAGTTTGGTTTTATCGGATACTGCGAGCATCTCTCTCGTAGCATACCTCACCAAAATAACCTGTCACTTTGTTAACAAAATCGACGTGGCTTATCGAGCTTTTTATCTTCGTGTTCCCCAATTTTCCACCGTGAGAAGACGTTTTTCCTATGCGAAACAGAGGGTAGCTGCACGTTGGGAGCGCAACAGGTAACGCGTTTAAATGGCGTGACCATTTCTCGCGTAACACTCGAAGATGGAAAGAATTGTGTAAAACGAAGAAGAATTTTGACTCTTTTTTCGATGGTTTACACTCGTGAACGAGTTAAGAAATATCCCTGATAAGATTTCACGGTGTAATTTATGTGTTTGAAATCTCGAGTCCTTGAAGAAATAGTTTCTATAGCTCGTAAACATTTTACACGTTTCTACGTACGACGATAGTTCTCTACTATTGTAAATCAGACGACAACTAACCTGATTCAAATCGAGATCCGGACATTTCGAGGCGCATTCTTCTTGGAGGTTGGCAGGAGCAGCTCGATCTTCGAAGTCTTCTGGCAGAAGCGCGGAGACGCTTCCCGCCAACGCCAACGCCAACACCTTCAGAAACACGCATAATCCCGTTGCTAACATAATATCCACAACCCCCCCTGAGACGAACCCTCCGCAGAATTTTAACGAGGTCTCTTCAACTGTCGATCGTCATCCTTCTCTCGATCCCGACGATCTCCACGATCTTCGAAGAGGATTCGAAACGCGAATCAGGCTTCCTTCCTCCGCATTCTTCCACATCGATCCTCGAGCTTGAGGATATCAATCACTCTCTCAACGAAACCTTCTTACTGTTCCTCGAAGACGGGGTCTCACGTTCACCTAACAGAATCACGCACTTCACATTAACAAACAGTCAGAGAAGAAGATCGCTTTCTTCCGTCGAAATCTCACACGATGGCACTTCTTCGAAGATGCTCCAAAGACGATCCTTCCAACTTGCAAAATCAATATCTTCCATTAATTTCGATTATCTCTCGAAGAGTACCAAGAAACTTCCAATGTTACTTAAATGTTCAAGTCCACTCTGTTTGCTGTTTAATCTCGTTGCCTTTCGACGTGTCGAGTATACAAAAATCGATCGTCACTGGAAATATCCACGAATCCAACTGTCAATGGGTAAAACTAAAGAACAATTTCCACCACTATTTTTCTTTCTACTTTCGATCACGTTGTCAGCGACGAAACAGTCTCTAAGGGGATTTCGAATAGCTTCTTCCAGCTCACAGATTAGAAAGGTAAGCCTCGCTAAGTGATTAATTCGAATTGCAAACTATCTCGAATGCACCTGTGACGTTTCGAGTCACGAGGCCCGCACTGCAAGAGCCCGGCGTGGTTGTTGTTAATGTCTGGCAAGCATAAGAGCAACTGACTCCGAATGGCCACTAGAGAGTCAACTATCCCCCACCATGGCCACCCTTATCTGTTGCACTCTGCTTGACCAATTCCCCTACGGTGGTGGTAGGTATACTATAACCGAGCGTGTCACGTGAAGCCTATGTGGTGTTGTGTGTAGTCTGTGGACGACGCGTCGTCGTCTCAAGACGAACAGAAGGGAGGAACGATCTGAACCTTCGTTTCTGCAGGTTCGACGGACCAATGGTCAATTGGCAGATTGACCTGTTCTTACTATCCTCGTAAACTTTCATTCATGCACTCGCACGTGCCGCTTTTTGCCGGGTGTCCACGTTGCCGGTGCGAAATTTTGTGAGGTAGAAAAATACACCTTTTTCCCTTTTCTCTTATTTTCTTTTTCCATCTATCTCTGTGGTGTTTAACCCTTTCACTTGCATATGCGTTGCAGGCCAAAAGTTTGAGATCACTGTGCGTTGCAAATAACAGAAAAATTTTCAGAAGAAAGTTAGGAATTTTAAGAATTTTTCAACAAATTTTGTATCATTCTAAACGAGGTAAATTTTCGTTGATCTTCGCAAAGTTAATTTGAAATTTATATAGAGATAATAGAGATTCGATATTGGTGTAAATTGGTGCAATCTTTTACTGTCGCTTCGCGAAAAATGCGTGTTTCTGATTTTCAAAAATCACAGCGGATAGTTTTCTGTTGAATCGTGCCACGGTCAAAGGGTTGGGGTTGCTTGGTTTAATTTTCATTGTGCAGGAAGCGTAGAAAAGGTAGAAAAAGTAATTTCTTTCAGTTATTGACGAAAGAGAGAATTGAACGTTAGACGTGCAAACATCACATTGGATGAAGATCACTTCGTTAAGTCAACCACCCTCTTCTCTCGCGTTAGGTTGAGCCGCATATTACGGTCGGATGGTACAAAGCAAATTCGAAGCCGAGCTTCGAGGCAAATACCAGCTATATTGACGTTACCGGAAAGAATGCATCCCCTCTAAACATTTCTGTACACATGCATAACGTTTTGACACCCTTAGGAACGCGCGTCTTCTATTGACTAAATACATCAAGGGAAAGAAAAGGTATTGTTAACGTCGACTAAAGAAACTCCGTTCCAAACGAAGAAGTACGAATTTTCCTGTTAATCATTCACCCTAACAAAGATGTCGTTTCTTCTGCTGGATAAACACACGGTCGTTCGTTTAATATTGTTTCCAAGTCTTTGTTAACCGTGGCCAAGTCAGAACGGTGACTCATTTCGACAGATTAAATCTGCGTACGACAAGAGAGCAGGCTTTATTATTTGTGCTACCATTGTCAGTCCGCGGGGGCAACGCATCGGGCCTTTCTTTTCAATCCATTCTTCGACGGGAACGCATATCTATTCGATCTCACGGGACTTCGATCTACCTTCGTTCACGTTAACGTCGCGTCTTGCAAACGGTCTCCTGTCGCGAGTAAACACGAGCGAGAATCAGCAAAACGGGTAAAAGAAACTCTTTCAGTTGATGGTTGAATAGAAAATTTTTATTTATCACAGTTGTCACATGACTTCTCGTTATCCTCATTCCTCGGCTCGAACGGTTCCAGAAGTTGCTGGAATTCTTTCTTTAAGTACGTCATACATCTAGCTTAAACGTTAAACGACTTCTTTTTATGCTACTTCTCTAAATTTCTTAAATTCTAATTATCTTCTCGAGGACTTCCAACTCGAGTCGTTCGATCTACTCGAATCTTTTTCGATTTGTAATTGGAAATTTGCCGTGCGTCGTAATCGTCGGAGTAGAGCGAATGGTATAAATGGAAAGGAAGATTGGACGTCGACACTGAAAAGCGAAGACCAATCGATTAACGCGCCGAGATTATGCCCAGGCGAATTCAGAACAGCTTGTTATGAAACGACAGCGATCTGTGGCACGTTAGTTCCAACCTCAATGGCGGTTACAGGTTACCTAGGGCTTCCTGCGGAAATGGCCAATATACTCCTCCGACCTCCAACTCACTCAGTCACTCGGATCACTCCTGTTTGGTGTACCCCGTACTCATATGATCGCCCTGTCGCTCGACACGTACTCGTTACGGGTCATCATCGTGATCTATGCGCCTACAACAAACGTTACATCCTTAATCTGTCCTAGCTTGCTAATCCTACGCTCGTGCTGATCGAGAAAGTTGACATTATTCTGCCAACTGTAGACACACCGATGGACCTATTTCGCCACCGCGATTAGAACGTGTTTAATCGCTCGATCAGAAGTGAACTTTCGGGACTGCGATTCAATTGGTGAGCGTCGATCGATGTTTAGAGTTCATTGCTTACGTGTTGATATTTTTGATTTGACAGTGTTAAACGTTAACACGTCTAAATTTCTTAAAAGTTAATTTACAGAAATTGTCGGGACGCTTTTGTACGAGTGTGTGGTGAATTTTGCTCATGACTTGCACGGTCGAAAGAAGCACTCGCTTACTGCAAATTTGCAATTTTATAAATCATCTTTTTCTCCTTTTCATTCTTTCTGCTTAACCCAGATGCGCCAGAAATGATCAATTTTCCCATTTGTTTACAATGCTGTGACTTCAATTTTTGCGATAGAACAGGAACGCAATATGAAAAGTGAAAGAAAAGAATTGAAGAAAATTGCACTTTTTCCATAACTTTCTAGTACAGCAGCAAGCATCTTAGACACATGATTGTTTTGCTGTGCTTAAGTAAAGTGATTAGAAAAATGACGTTTCCCAATGTGTATCAAGTACGGCCCAATTCACACGTGCTCATGATCTATCGTTTGTTTTGCATGCAACGTGATTGTCGAACAAAAGAAGGAGCTTTTTCTAAGACGTCTAGACGGGCTAGTCCAGGGTTTACTCTGCTTTACACGATACACCAACAATTCGGCTCTATTAGGCCAATGAAGTGTATCAAAGAGGAGGAATGCGCCCCGCGTCCATCGTAAATGTAGCGTCGGTTTGTCTCTTCGTATATACACGATGGTTTATATGCGGGGTGCGGGTGGATAGCTAATTTAGATCGAACACGACTCTATGTTAGAAGAACGACAGAGAGAAAGCAAGAAAATTTCGTTGCAACGAGATTTTTAACGTACAACGTTTTACAACACGTCGAAGACATGTTAATAAAGCACAAGGGATAGAGGTCATTATGATTTGTGTCTTTCTCGTTATTTCTCAGGCTTGACACATCTTTTATGAATTTTCTTTTTATAAAGGAAAAAAGAGGACATATATAACGAAGGGAGTATCCCAGCGAGAAATGATGAAATAATAAAAGAGTTGTTGAAAAAAAGGTTTCGTGCATGTCACAGTGACCCCCGGTTATAATTGTATCGTTTGATATAATAATAATAAGTTATTTCACGTTGACCACTTACGCGTTGCTTCGCATACTATGCGAGGGAATGTCCGAGATTAAAGTAATAATTCGTAATTAATAAAACGTGCAAGTGTCCGCAGAACAAAGTTCAGTTTAACCAATCCCATGTAGTTTTCAATGCTTCCCGAAGATAATTGTTATCTTTATCGGAAATTAATTGCGATCCAATAGCTTCTCTAACACTCGAACGAAAGTAACACCTACGTCTCTATTACTCATTAGCTTGTTTACCACCGCTTTAATTATACCCTAAATTTTTTTTTCTTTCCTCAGTGTGTATAACGATAATAACAACGGTGAATCTATTCTAGTTTAGCGGGATATTCCTATTTTCAATGGAATAAATTGCTATTAATTGTATTACCACTTTTACAGCGACCGTAAACTAACCTCAGAATTATCTAGAATGCTGTGAAACTTTGGTCTGCGATACTTTTAATAAATGTTGACATTTACAATCGTTTTTTTTAAGTTATTTATTTTTATTATCGAGCAATCTTTTATTAGCATGTGTATGCAAATATATACATATATGACGTTCATGAGCAATGAAATCACGAAAGAGGTAATACATAGATGGTATTCTATAATATCTCAGTACGCCACTAGAGTACACTACTTCCCAACTTTTGGTCCAGTTGTGATGCATATTAATATGTATGTTTTACAAAACTATATTTAACTTTTGTTTTTAATCAAACTTTTATGCTGAATTTGCATATGCAACATTATAAGATTGTATATTCGTTCAATTTATAGCTAAATTCAAAACTCTGGGTAGAGTAGAAACGATCATGTAAACGGCTTTCATGTCATGAGAATTTATGTAGTAATTCAAGATGGAAGACGGCGAAAATAAAACGGACGTTGGGATGGATAAAGAGAAAAAGTCGTATGCCGGAATACCGGAGGCCGAATTTGTAGTAAGTACGTTAATGTAATATAAAATTTACATTACATATTGTTATAAAATTTATATCCATACATAAATCGTATGTATTTCAGTTGTATTATGTTACGATGCATGTTTTTGCGAAAAAGTAATCCTCATGGCTAACGATAAAAATTTCTAAAAAAAAAAAATGTAAAATGTGCTTTTTGTTAATTTTTTATATATTTAATAATAGGCTTTCATATACCAGTGTAATACGTGAAAATGCATGAGATATACTTTTTCGCACCACGAGCCTTATATGGTCGTAAAAGAAACGATATTTGAATTCATTACGAATTAAGCGTATTTTTATTTTATGTAAAATATTTTTAACATAGGACAATGTCGACGCATTTATGGCAAAACCGGAGAATGAATCAGTAGACAAAGTACTCCAGATGTTGGATGAGAGCCATGGCAAATATAAGTTCATGGAATATAATTTATTTAATAAGAGGAAGCGATTGAAAGCACAAATTCCAGATCTAGAAAAGTCATTGGAAATGATTAAAAAGTTACAGCAAGAAAAGGACAACAGCAAAGATCTAGAGACTCAGTTTCTTTTATCAGAACAAGTGTATGCAAAAGCTATTATTCCCCCTACTGACAAAGTGTGCTTGTGGTTGGGAGCTAATGTTATGTTAGAATATACTTTGGATGATGCACAAGTTACATTAATAAGGAATATTGAATCAGCAAAAAGAGTGTTAGGTTATGTGGAACATGATTTAGACTTTGCCAGAGATCAATTTACAACGATAGAAGTAAATATGGCACGTATTTATAATTGGGAAGTGAAACGCAGGCAAGCTGCTAAACCAACATGAAGGCTGTTTTTTTTTTTTTTTATTAAATTTAATTTGCACGCAATGAATGCCTAAAACCCAAAGGGTAATTATTATAATAAAATAAATACTGATTCTATTCACATGTGTTATTATTTATTGTGTAATTTTACAATGTTATTTTTAATTTAGGTTATTCACACTATGAAAAAAAGAGCCTGTGAATAAAAACTACTGTCAGAAATCATCAATGAAATAAAGGACTCAAATAACATTTAGGTTATAAGCTAGATACACCAATATTTATGTATATTGTCACAAATACATTTGAATTCTAACTTAATGTGTCGTTTTGTGTAGTTATAAGATGTATTATAAGATTTCTTGCTACATTTATCACATTAATCTTAACCAAGATATATTGAATATTTCTACAGAAAAAAATGCACAACTTGCATAAAAAAAAATAATACATTTGTTATAGAAATATAACATAAAACAAAATAATTTGAGCTTTACTATATAATTTATCACATCCTACCTTTATGCTTTGAATACAAACTATTCTATGTTTGTAGATACAGATAATTTCTTTAAAAAAAAAAAAAAATGAAAAGTATTACCTATAGTTTTGTGAACATGATTAAGAAATAGACTTACAACTAGTAGAATTTATAAAATGAAACTTAATTTATCTTATGTTCTAAATTGTCTTACAAAGTGATTTGCTATATTAATTTTAAGGCACATAGTCGGTCTGACTCTTTGTAACAGTCAGTGTCCAGCAGGGACTAGTATCCAATTGTAATCTAAGCTTTGTGTTTTAATTCTCCATCCTCATCTGCTTCATATTTCACCAATTTTGCCTTCAGCTCTGCGATTTTAGCTTTAGCTTCTTCCAGTTCTTTTCTTAAAGTCTCTACTTCGATATCAACCTCTGTTATACCTCCTAGATTTTGGTGAATGTATCTATGATATAATTTAGGAAATACACACTGTACCAGAAATAAAGACCACTACCAATGTCTTGCAGCTGTAATATTAACCTATTAATTGCACTATTTTAAAAGGATACTCTAAAGCATCATCTGGTTTTTCTAATTCTTCATACAAAGATACAAGTACCTTTGTAAGAGCATCCATAACACCTGCCCTTTCTAGATATTTCCTAAATTCTTCCCTTTTAGAATCTGGAGGCTGAAACAAAAAATATTACACAAGATGTGTAAAGAAAATTTAGATTATATCCAGAAAAAAAAATTTACATTATATCAAGAAATTCAAGTAAGTTATATGCATATTATAAGTGAAAAATTGAAGTAAAAAATGTTACAAAGAACATTATGCTGTGACGAGTATTACCTTGAAATTCGACATTTTTATTACCAGATCGTATTTATGCAACTATTTTACAACAATACTATAAAAGTAGGACTTTATGAGATAGTTTATTGGAATTCCAGTAACACGTGTTTCTTAATTCGCGGGATAATGCACAGAAATAAGCCGTAACGACGCCCGTTTAGAACAAAAGCCATATGACATACACGACTTTCAAAACAACAGATATTCGAAACAATTTTTCACTGGAAAAAAATATTTACCATCGTGAGAAGTGAATGCAGCGTATAGTAGTAGAGAAAATAATTTCTTCTCTTTCACCTTCCACCGAGACACGATTCACGAAAGCGGTACACTGTGCAATAGTAAACCTCAAATGTGAAGACTGTTTATTTCGATTGATATCAACATAAACAGAGAAGTATCCCGCCTTGGTCCAAAGTCGATGCTGTTTTAAATGTGTACGTGTCGCAATAAGTTTAAAATTGTTACGAAATAAAACATCCTATAATATATAGTGGAAAATTATAAATAAAATCAGTACGTAATTTAAGTTAACGTAAAGTTTGTTTTAAAATATGTAAAGATTTTGATTAATAAGTAAGCTTAAATATACTATAACGTAAGATATGGTGTAGCTTATGCACATTCTGTCGATGCATTAATAATTCAAAATGGCGAGGTTCTGTTTATAGTGTAATTTTCCTATTATTTTCGATACAAAGAATTTAAAGAAACCGAATTTTCTACTGTTCTTAAAATATGTTACAATGTTCCTTGCGAAAAATGAAATATTTTCACGTGTGATATTGACTGGTGCTATAGGTATTTGTTCGTTCATTGGTGATCAAGGTTTAAAACATGGGAAGACTGCTGCGACACGCGCGATTTTTGACAATGTCACTCACGCATTTGTCGGTGGCCTTACTTGGGCAGTTATTTTAAGTTTGTCAAAAAAGTCTCTTATCCAAAATTTTTCGAGCATCTTGTGCAGTTTTTGTTTGTCGTCTATTATCGACGTTGATCACTTTATCGCAGCGTGCAATTGGAAGTTAAGTGTAAGTCAGTTATAGCATAACCTTTAATTGTTTTCATACCGCGCACATCTTACTCGCGAGAGAAATCAAAAATATAAGCACTACCACTTCATTATTTCATTGTATATATTGTAGAAAAAACAAATACTTTGTCAGGAAAACATTCGAATAACTACATTCTGATATTCTTTTTTACAGGATGCAACACATTTGGAAAAACGTCCATTTCTCCATTGTACCACTGTTCCTATAATAATATGGCTTACAATGAATTTGTACTCAAGTATGTTTAATCAACCAAAGTACAGTTATTATTCATGGATAGTACTAGCAAGTTTTTTAAGCCACCATATACGAGATGGAACAAGAAGAGGTTTATGGTTTTGTCTTATAGGTTCTACACAACCAATTCCTTATTATCTATATCTAACTATAAGTATGATGCTACCTCATATACTACACTGGTTGATGATGTCACCTGTGCAAGAGTCTAAGACTCCAGACAATATGATATTAATTAATATTGTATAAATACTGTAAAATAACTTGTCAATTCTATATACATACACATGTACATATATCCAAGTGTCCATATACATATATGTATATATGTACATCCAAGGAAAAAGTTGATAAATATAAAAATATCTTTTCTACTTGACTAAGCAAAAAAAAGCAAGAAAAATTGTACAATATGTACTTCTTCCACGTCACAACAAAGAATCACCTAAACATTACGAAACGGTGTAACGTAAGATACGGACACATGGAAAAACTTGCGTATACTAAAAAGGGTTCAGTCGCGTCCACAATGTTTACATAGTTGTTTCTAGAGACAGGTGTGCTCAGTAGAGGAGCGTCGTTCACGTATGCCTGTCTTTTGTGTCCCGTGTCTCTCCTCACCGGATCGACTACGTTCGATTACCATGCAAAAATTGAACGATACCCACGTAAATACGTACGTGCCGTTGTTAACCGCGTAGGGAAACTCGGTGTACGTATCGCGGAGGACGCGTATGCCCTTGCAAGAAGTTAGCCGCGCGCACACACGTGTGTACACGTACAATATCCACCGGCTGGAGGGGTTTATCAGCATTCAGCATTGCTTTGCTGGCACTGTTACACACTTTACTTCACACTCGGTCTCTCTCTCGGTCTCTCATTATAGTGTTCATTTACCTATCCACCTTATATATACACTTTTATCATAACAACCGCGTGCAAGTGTTTAAGCAGACCTCTGGTAAAACAGTTGATCCTTTGCGATCGGAACTTCCAACTGTGTTATTATTATGCAGTATACCTCTTCCGTGTTTCCACCGTGACGCCCCTCTCGTTCAATTTTTGCCGCGAGAAAAATTCGGTTTCTCCGTTTCTTCGCTTTCGGTGGAACAATTATCGCTCGTTAGTTGTGCCTCGCGAGGAACCTATCGTTTTACATCTACGTTCTCCACTTGTGTTACACATACACATACATATTCTCGTTCGTATCAAATTCGAAGTAAAACTGGGTGTACATGGATAAGAGAAGTTTTCGCTGAACGAGAAATCTACAATGCCGCCAGATTTTCGCAGATATCGCATCGGCTGTGATAACGCTCTGATACCGATATCTTGATTGTGTACGTTAGTCCAACATTGTCTCCAAGGAGATCCCGTGTCACTTTTACTCCGCTATAGTATATTTATCATGGTGAGTATACGCTCTTCTATTTGACCTATGAATTACACTTAAAACCGATCCAGAGGTTCAATTATTCCCGAAGGTAAATCGTTCCGCATAGTTTCGCTTTAATGTACACACACACATAAGTACATTACATATACGAAGGTTGTGACGCTCGTCTTACGATTATGATGATCAGATGAATAAGAGCCGTGCACATTTACCGACTCATTTCGTGTAATTGTACCAGGCTTTGTGTTTCTGTGAAACAATAGTTCCTCCCCGTTCTACCCGGTACAGTTTCTTATCAATTTGTCGAACAGTCGAATGAAATTTGACAGTGTTTGTTGTCACGTTACACGTTGTACATATATTACCGCTTTCACAAGAAACGAGGCTAATCATAGAGCCGTAATAAAGCTTGTTTTGTAACGTTAATTACGACCACTCGAGCGATCGCCCATTAGAGATGCAACTATGCACCTTCAAGGTTGAACTGGCGCAAGAAGAATCACTGGAGTTATACGATGAAAGTGATTCGCTGGATGCATAAATAATTCTGTCGCAATAACACCGATACAAAATCGACGGAATCGTGCAATCTTCAAATATCTCTTCTTCTTCTTTCTTCTTTCACGAACGTGTTTCTATGGCGAAACGATCATGGCAGCAGGTAAACTTCCTGTTTACCGTTCAATACGTTTATTAGCTTTCGCGTGGCGTGTTGACATCCGTTGTGTTTAAACACCACACGCGTTACGAAATCTTACAGGAGGTATCGAGGAAGTTGCAATGCAACGATGCGTGACAAAAGGATTCTTTCACATTCCTGCATTCTCACTTTGCTTCGTCGTCCATCGTATCGACGTACATCTTCGCGTACGCCCTCGTTCTATTGGCACGTTTCGCGGTTTCCACAGTTTCCCCACATCTCGAGGAATACTTCTTTTCTTCTTTTTTCTTCCTCGTTTATCGTATAGCGTCCCGCTACTGTTGCGACCAGAGATAGCGTACACGGTTTTTAATAGAGCAAACATCCTATTATCGCTAGATAAATCGTCTCGATCGACGACGATACGCCAGGAGCTTTTTAAACGTGATCTTAGAAACGAGATTCGAAGGTTTCTCTTTATCGCGATGGATTTTAACGTTGGATGATTTTGAACGATTTTTTGCAGGAAACCGACGAGCTGTTTCTGTATTTCGCTATAGCGTGCGGAGTAATCGGAGGTGCTCTATTGCTGCTGTTCATTTTGGTGTGCGTACTGTTTATCAAAGTGAATCGATTACCTGCTGACGGGTGAGTTACTTTCATTCGAAAGGTCTGCACCTTTCGTTCTTCTTTTTCTTCTCGTTGGAGCATGCTAAAATTCTTGATTTTGCCGCTTTCGATATTTGTATTCGACGCGAACCGCCTCTCTGTTCAGCTTTCGCTTTGAAACAAAGAGAAAGAGAGAGAGAGAGAGAAAAGAAATGTAAAATAGAAGAGAATTGTACATAGCAAGAGCAAGCTTTCGCTTCTTCTTCTTCTTTTTTTCTTCAATGATTTCGTTTTCAACGTAATATTTAGTTGGATTACTTGACGAGTTTTCTCATTTAAAATCTAATTGGGTATCAGTGGCATAGGCGACGTTTCGTTCTGTTGGGACGCGGCACGTTCTCGACGTACTAGGAAACCGAACAAGTCACGTAAGATTTGTACATTCTAAAAGAGCAAATTACAGATTGCCGTCGATCCGCGAATTTTCGAAAACGAACGGAAAAGAAATAAAGAGAGAAATATTAATTCATGATTCAACGCGACATTGATACCGTATCTTTTGCTGCGTGCGACGCGATTGTTTAGCTTATCTTGTTGGAAGTATGTGAGACGGATACTGGAATTGAAAACGGCTTGCACGCGAGCAGATTCTTTTCTTTTTTTTTTCTTTTTCTCGATTACTCAGAGTGTACACTTTTTTGAAAATCATTTTTTTTTTTTTTTTTTTTTTTTTTAACGAAATCTTTTAACGTATTCTACAGTTCGATCACTTGATTGTTAAGGATTGAAATGAAATTCGCGAGAGAAAATTGGATATTTCTTTTTTTCGAATATATTTAGAGACGCTTTTACAACAATTTGTTTTTTTTTTTTTAATATTTGCTAAGAATCGTTTTATTAAATTGACGAAATTATTCAGGTCCAACCAACTGAACAGGCAAACCAGTATGATGGCAGATTTTTGTTACACGAATCCCACGATCGTGCCTGGAGAATTGTTAGCTCGGCGTGGATTTTCGATGTACAGCGGCGCGGATAATTTTAACGAGGATTTCGGAACGAAGAAAGACTATCATTTTGGGACGTATCAAGAGTCCCGATCGAAATTCTGACAAAGAGCCATAAGTTCGAACGGAAGTTCGACGTGCGCGTAATATCGATTGTACGATTAATTTGCACATCGAACAATTTTGGTGTACATTAATTCGTTATACTCGTATATCGGTTTTGTAAAGTGTACGACTCGCGTTTAAAGTTAACTGTCATTTGCCATAAAACTTATTTATATACATACATATATATACAATTATTTATATATGATATCGCTGTAATTGTTATTATTACAAAGCGATCGAAAGTAGAAGTGCAAAGCGCACCTCGTAAGGTGATAATTAATGAATAATAAATTACATACGTTTATGTACACCTACGGAAGATAATGTCTCGCAAAAGGACCGATGGTGTAGAAATGGTACGTTCGATTCCCGGTAGATCACGCTGTACGCGTTAGTCACTCCGAGGAAATTAGCTGATAATGAGAATTAAAAAGAAATCAGGTCAGAATATGTATGATATGCAATTCGATTGCGTAATTTCGTTAAAATTATCGGAAAAGAATATTACGTCGATTTATCGTGTTCTTGATCCTTGTCAATTATTTATTTTTCATTTCTTATCGACAGCGCTTCAATCCCAAAGATCATACGCATAGAATAGCAGTTTTGTTTGTAACGTGCATCATTATTAATAAATATACTATGTTACTTATTTTAACTGTTTGTTTATTTTGTACGAGAGATTACAATATACCTGTTTGATTTACAGCATTTCAATGTCTATTCATTTTGTCCCTTACACACCACATCCCACAATGATAGATTGAAAGACCCAAAGCTAATGCCCAAGACCCACCAGACTTGGAAAGCTGTGAAAGGGTGACGCGCGAAAAGTGGAATACGAATCGCGATTTATTTTCATTTTCAGGGATTTTGTTTAGTACCCGAAACCGCGAATTTTTATTATCCTCGGCTCGAAAACGTAGTCCCTGACTCTACCAGTGTCAGGTTTAGTTTCCTTGCGGTCTGACACTTGTGAGAAAATACTGTATAGAGTTCTATATTTCGCGTAGGAGTAACGTTGGAAACGACACAAAAATGGTAAGGGCACTCTGAGCCCTCCTGACGTGGACAAAAAAAGACGTGAAATGTGTGATCAATTTTTGTGTAATTCTTATTGAAGGATGGTGATATACCATCAGTAGTCGTATTTAACACAAAAGGTAACTCGTCGAGGTATTTAGCAATACAATAATGAGTAAAACAAGGAAAGGAATACTGGTAGACAAGGATAGCGGTAGAGAGATGGGTTAGACAAGGAAAGGAACAGGGTTAGACAAGGACAGAAAAATTTCAAAACGAAACTAGCGCCATCTCGTGTTTGGCTCCGCGAACTAACGACTCGGTACTATGAAAACATAATATAAACAGAGGTATCAGACAAGGAAAGCACTAGTGTGCGACAAGGACAGAAAGAGAACGCTTCCTATTGGCTAGCGGGCCGGTAGACTCGATCTTCCAGGGCCTCAATCAAGTCGGTTGGTGAAAAAGCATTAATAACTCATTACTTACGATGATTTTGTGAACTTTTAGAATTGAAGAATGTAGTATGAACCTCTAGCAACTTTCTCATATAGGTTTTAAGGGCGTAGGTCCTTTCAATAATTAGGTACTAATTATTGTTTTGCGAATTGTCGGGAACGATACGGCAGTCTCTTCCGGTTTTTCGTTAATATCATTGTTTAGTATCAATTTATTTTACAATTATCTATGCATCTGAAAGAGAGGCATCTTTGGCTACATTCTTCTATAAATTTTAGTAACATATTCGTTGAAGTTTGGTAGTTATTAAATATTATTCGGGGGAATGCTGCACTTGCCGAATTCAGGCGGAACACTTTTCTGCCAATTTGATTCAATATAACGGAATTGCGTGGTTTATTGTGAACTTTTAAGCTTGTAGAATGTAGCGGGGACTTACCTTTACATTCTACAATAGTTTTGGTATACGTATCTAATGTGGTTTATCAAATATTACCAATTGTTTATAACAGTTGTACTGACTCGGATACGACGAGCGGTGGACTCTCCCATATAATGTTTAATAACTCGTAAACTACAGTCGCGATGTTAATGAAAATTATACGAGAAACAAGGTAAAGAATCGTGCTTTCCAATGAAGGTGTTGAAGTGCGTAAATTATGTGATTAAAGGTACGAAAGTAATGAAAAACCTAAAGGCAGTGTTGTATTTCTCCTAACACTCTGCCTAAGAATTGTTAATAACTAATTATCGAAAGGGTTTAGAGCATTGAAACCTATATGTGAAAGTTGCTAGAGGCTTATACTACATTCTTCAATTCTAAAAGTTCACAATTTTATCGTAAATAATGAGTTATTAATGATTTTTCACCGACCGACTTGATTGAGGCCCTGGAAGATCGAGTCTACCGGCCCGCTAGCCAATAGGAAGCGTTCTCTCTCTGTCCTTGTCGCACACTAGTGCTTTCCTTGTCTGATACCTCTGTTTGTATTATGTTTTCATAGTATCGAGTCGTTAGTTCGCGGAGCCAAACACGAGATGGCGTTAGTTTCGTTTTGAAAATTTTCTCTCCTTGTCTAACACTGTTCCTTTCCTTGTCTAACTCATTTCTCTAGCGCTATCCTTATCTACCGCTATTCGATTCCCTGTTTCTTTTCGCTATTGCTGTCCTTGTCATCTCTATTATATATAATTAATATTTATAATCAATTTTTAATTGCTTTAACGTTACTTAT